ATTACAAGAATCGACCTGAAGAAGTCAAATTTTAGTCTTTGACTGGAACAAGTCTTTTCTGGTAAAAGCTGCTTTAGATGAAAAGATTATAATGAGGGGACAAAGCTTTAATGAATATAAAACATCGAAATTTTTGATTTCATAAATAAAAATAATGTTTGTGTCTATGCACAGTAGAATATTTGACAGTTTTTAATGGTCATTTGGCAATATAACAAAAGAATTAAATTCTAAATTTTTTATTTTTAACCAAATAGTGTAAATCAGAAAAAAGTATTATTACGTATACAGCACCATTGTAAAACAAGTATGTACATATCAAAAACATAGTATAAACATTTTTTAACAAAATAACCTCTAAAATATGATATAAAAAACATGGGAACTCCCGTTTAAATGTTTAAACCCATGAACTTTATTAACTTTTTTAATTTCTAATCAACTCGTTCAATCAAAAAAATTATCATTTCTGCACCATTGTATAACATACATACAAACACATAGTATAAACATTTTTATCAAAACATGAGACTCTAAAAATAAACCAAAAAGAGGTTCCTGTTTAAAAATTTCACATTGTTTAATTGAGACATGTGAGACAGGGACTATGAGTGCATGTTAAATGCTAAACAGACAACACATTCAAATACTGAAGGTTTTTCTCCATATTCACTGGGAACAAACTTTTATACAGCAGGTATACATTGAAATCAATCAGAATAAGTAGAAGTCATCACAAACATGACTAGTTATACACCCATAAACCTCAAAATTTTATTGAAATTTAATGAAATAAGAATGTGTCCATAGTACATGGATGCCACACTCGCACTATCATTTTCTATGTTCTGTGGACCGTGAAATTGGGGTAAAATCTCAATTTGGCATTAACACTAGAAAGATCATATCATAGGGAACATGTGTACTAAGTTTCAAGTTGATTGGACTTCAACTTCATGAAAAACTATCTTAACCAAAAACTTTAAACTTAAGTGGGACAGACAGCCTAACAGATGAACGAATGCACATACCAGAAAACATAATGCCCCTCTACTATTGTAGGAGTGTAGGTTGGGCATAAAAATATTATAGGAGTGTAGGTTGGGCATAAAAATATTATAGGAGTGTAGGTTGGGCATAAAAATAATATATCTAAAATGTGCTCCCCCTCCCCCTCATAAATATAACAGCAAATATGATCTGTTAAGGGTTAGGTTTTGGAATTTATTTAAGATTGTTTGGACTAGTTTGGTTTTTCTCTATGATAAACTATAACGGGGCAAAATATTATACCCATTTCACCCATTTTTTTAAAAGAAGACCTCAAACAGCTATTAGTTTCATTGACATTAAAAGTGCAGAATTTTTTTTTTCAATTAGGACCCAAAAATAGTTCTCAACAGAAATGTGATCAAAAGTGATCAGCAGGCAATACCACAGCTTATCACAAACTACATGTATATAAAAAAATAACAACAATTTAAAACAATTATATGTAAACTTGGCACTGTACAACAAAAGATCACTTAAATCTTAATAAAGAATCAGAACAATTATTTAATGTAAAAGTCTAACAATATTTTAACAAAAAGTTATAGTTACCTAGTTAAGGTAGCACTACAGTTGATTTTTACGTGATTTTTTTTAACACATTATTTTTTTTAACAGCACCAAGCAGTTGAATCAATATATCTTCTAATTGGTGGCATATATCAAAAATCTGAGACACAGTTTTGTAGCTTCTGTATGGTCAATGAAATGTATGAAAACAAATTTTTACCACCATTTGAAATGAATGTGCTGTTTTTATCGAAGTCGGGAGAGAACTTTTTTTGGCAGTTAATGAACTATATTTTTAATTGATCATACCAAAGAACAAAATTATCATCAGATTAAGAATGAACGATATTTCAGCTGTAAAATGAGTTAAAGATTATAAAATTCCATTGAGTGGTTTAGGAGAAATTAATCTTAAAGTCTGTTTGTTGGAGTCATCAAAGTCTGACTATAGTGCTACCTTAAGTTACCTGTATACAGATGGAAAACAATACAAAAAAAAAATTGGTGTCAGTGCTCAGAAATGTCTTTATTTCATTTCCGACTTAAAAGGATGATTAACATAAATTTATTTTTATGTTTCAATAAAAAGTGTTTTTTTTTTGGCAATGTCCAGAAAATATAAGACTTGTTTTAATAGGTCTATTTATGTTTCATTAACTGGATGAAAACACTTGATTGGATATGGATTTTTTAATATTTTCTACTCTTTTCATGTCTTTCTTCTTAATCTTAATTTTGGAATATATGTAAATAACTATATTTTCACTGATTTCTTATCAATAATGGATTTACAAAATAAACTCTGACTTTTATGATTTGGAGTGCAACAGACTGACCATATTTGACATGTTTAAAGAATTTCATGAAAACAAATTATATTACAATGCAGTATTCTAACACTGCTAAAATAAACTACATAACATGCATAAAGTAAAAACTTTCATAATATTTATAACCATTTTCAACAGAAAACTGAAACCAGGGAGTACAAGTAATTTAAATGACATACATAATCAAACAGCTATATGAAATCTAAATTATTCTTTTTTAGCAATCTCCATGACAAATATGATACATAAAATACATAAACAGTTGAGCAATGTTTTGAATCAGAAACTATAAAATAAAAGACATCAACAAGGGCAATATAATAATATCATGAATATAAGTACTAAAACATGAAAAAAACCTGAGTTTGAACATATGTTAACAAAAACATTCAATAAAAGTTGTATCAAAGTAATTTTCAAAATTGTTTTAAACAAAACATAACTTTCAAATAAAACATCAAAACACAATTCAGTAATATAAAGGCATTACTTAAAGGGGCACTAGTTGTCAAATTCATGTTCACTGATTTGACTCAAATTGTCATATTTGATTATAACAACGTAAAATTTTTATTCAAATAATAAAAAGTATAAAATAAACAAAATACCGGGCAGGGCTACATAATATGTAGCTTCGTTTCGCGTGTATTTTAGTCTAGATGCAATCTATTTAACTGTCTAGTTGACCCCCAAAGAGCTCTGATTGCCATATATGCGATATATACATAAATATAGATATAAATAGATATCAGACTCATGCATTTGGATTTCATTTTCATTAATGATTGAACCAAAAAAAAATCACATTTTATATTCATTATATATCTTGTAGCTAGTGCCCCTTTAATCTTGAAGCTGTAAACAAGGCACAAAAATGTAAGGAAACTAAGTTCTAGGACAATTGGCATGTTGATAAAATAGTTTCATATTATTGTATAGTGGCACATATTGAATGGTCAGCAAATATAATATAATGGAAAAAAATCACCAAAAGACATTAATTGAAGAAGCACTATAACAATGATTAAATTAAAAAACTAGAGGCTCTAAAGAGCCTGTGTCGCTCACCTTGGTCTATGTGCATATTAAACAAAGGACACAGATGGATTCATGACAAAATTGTGTTTTGGTGATGGTGATATGTTTGTAGATCTTACTTTACTGAACATTCTTGCTGCTTACAATTATCTCTATCTATAATGAACTTGGCCCAGTAATTACAGTGGAAAATATTTTGTAAAAATTTACAAAAGTTTACAAAATTTATGAAAATTGTAAAAAATTGACTATAAAGGGCAATAACTCCTTAAGGGGTCAATTGACAATTTTGGTCATGTTGACTTATTTGTAGATCTTACTTTGCTGTACATTATTGCTGTTTACAGTTTATCTCTATCTATAATAATATTCAAGATAATAACCAAAAGCTGCAAAATTTTCTTAAAATTACCAATTCAGGGGCAGCAACCCAATGTGTTGCCTGATTGGTCTGAAAATTTCAGGGCAGATAGATCTTGACCTGATAAACAATTTCCCCCCCTGTCAGATTTGCTCTAAATGCTTTGGTTTCAGAGATATAAGCCAAAATCTACATTTTACCCCTATGTTCTATTTTTAGCCATGGCGGCCATCTTGGTTGGTTGGGCGGGTCACCGGACAAATTTTTTGAACTAGATACCCCAATGATAATTGTGGCCAAGTTTGGTCAAATTTGGCCCAGTAGTTTCAGAGGAGAAGATTTTTGTAAAAGTTTACGGACGCAGGACGACTGACGACGGACGCCAAGTGATGAGAAAATCTTACTTGGCCCTTTGGGCCAGGTGAGCTAAAAATAACTGGTTATGCATAAGAGTAGTATGTAACCAGTTATTTTAATCAAAGTACACAATGTGCATGGTATGCATGGTATGTATGTGTTGTGTACACGTAATAATGTTTTCATTAAAATGTTCTGGAAATTTTTCATACATTGTTTCATGCAAAATTATATATAAAAAAATCTTCTCGTGTACAGATTTTTTTTTGGATCAATACTATGTATTATATATATATTTGACTGTATCTTGTAGTCCTTGTATTATTCATTTATTGTTTATGATTTACTGCATTAAAAACACTCATTATTAGAATTTGTATACAACATACACATGACATAGTTATACCATACGCATACATATACCAATAAATTCAAAATCATGGATTTAGTCATAAGAACCAAGTTCTGTGATATGAAGGCATTACAGATTATTCCAGTTACATTAGCACTAACATGTTATATTCAATGTTAAAAAGCACTAAAGTGTAGTTCTCAAGGTGAAGCACTAACATGAAATATTTAAGGTTAACCAGCACTTCAATGTAATTTTCCAGGTTTTACAGCACTTAACATTTCTTGAAGAGGAAGAGTTGAACATTGGAAAATAAAATCTTAAATTCATGAACCTTGTAACACTTGAACAACAACAGCATGAACATACAAATTAAAGTATATTTCTAAATAAAAGTTGTAATATTTGACTTGTCTTGACATTTCAAGGCTTATGGAGGTGTAACATCATCATGCTGACCACTATCAGATATAGTTTATTCTTTAATCATGTATCCAGAAGCAATACACACCATTGATCAGAGAAGTTGTTAACAATGTGTATGGGGCAATTTTACCCGCATAAAACAACTAACTTTCTTAATGTTTGATATCAAAATTTTGTTTTGCTTTATCGAAATTTAAAGTTTTTTCAAAAATATATGCTTGATAACATATTGAGATAGGAATAATCCTTACATAATGAGTTAATCTTTATACATAAGTACTTCCATAAGCCTTAAAATCTCTTGGTCAGTAAAATGTATGGACATAATGATATCAATTAGTAAAAAATTTTTTGCAGAAAGATTGAAATTTGTTCTGTATTTCTTTGTACTCTTTAATGTGCCAAATCCTGCCATAGGAGTCTTTGGTGACTTGACTTCAACATTGGTTTCGAAAATGAATTCTTTTCTGACACAGGATGTATCTTCCTTGGCGGGCCATTTGAAGTCATTTCCGGTTGATATCTTTTTCATAAAATTAATTTTAAAAGTGTCATCCACCTTTTCCACAACAAGTCCAGCGAACCATTCGCTCTCATATGCAACAGCGACGTATTGACCCACTTTGATTTCATCATCTGAAAAGTAAATTGAAGTAATTAAAAATATATCTTGACTATGCTAACCCTAAAGGTCTAGAAAAAAAAATGAGACTATTTTTTTAACCAAAATAAATTAATTCACAATATACATATGTCCTGTCCTCCGACTACCACAAACACACTATTAGCTAAGTTTAATTTAGAATATGATAAAAAAAATTCTAGTATCTTCTACACTTTCATAGATTTTTTATATGGTTTGTTGATAAAAATATGATGTATTTCTCTAGTTTATGACACTGGTGTGCATAAAAAAACTTAATCATGTTAATGGATAGGACATTTTCTATTTCGTAGTATTAATTCTAATTATGTTCCATTATACATGTATTACTTTAGGATATCATTATAATTTTCCATTTTCTTTGTTAATCATGTTTGTTGTTGGTTATTGTCTAATTTTCCTTACCTTTGCTAATGTCAGTAGCCTCAAATTCCAAAATCCCTTCCTCAGTATTCATCTAAAAAAAGAAAACAAAACAATGAGATGTAAATTAAAACGTCAATTTTCCCTTTCTTGGAAGGATGCAATGAAATAAAAATATGAAATTGACATACATAATGTGTTCATTTTCTGTCAAAGTCATTTTATGGAACACCATAGAAGTCTTACCATGAACAGTTGGGGATGTCATTATAAAACAATACATTAAATATCAAATCTATATCTTCAAGCATGAAGAAAAAAAGTGTGGAAAACTGATTTGTCAGACTGACAGATGGACAGAGTGCAAACCCAAAGTCCCCTTCGACTTCATTGCTAGGGGACTAAAAAAAAGTTTAATATTAGCATTATACTAACGAAAATTTTAGTAGATATATTACCTGCAGCTGCAAAAGATCCTGGACAATGGGATATCCCAATTCTTCTGTTAGAGTAGCAGCATACAAAAAGCTAAAAATAAAAATAAAGTCAAACAATTTTTTCAAGTTTATTATTTATGTTGAGACAAATTAATGGTATTTTGTCTTATCACTAATTGTAAATTGAGAATGTGATGTAAAAATAAATTCCACATTGTACCTGTAACAGTGTTTTTTTAGTTGTCTGTATATTTCTAATCCTTACTGTTAAGTCCAATTTTGGTTGTATTGCCATTTTTACTTATATTGTGTTTGTTTTGATCACACTTTGTCAATATAATGGCATGCTACTAGACTGTTGTCAAGTGAGAGATTTGGCTAGGTTTAATCCACTCTTATGAGTAAGAAAATGTCTGTACCAAGTCAGGAATATGTCAGTTGCTTTCCATACATTGATGTGTTGGATCATTCTATTTTGCCATTTGAATAAGGACTTTCCTTTGAGTTCAGTATATTTCTTATTTTACTTTTTTCTTGTACATTGTTCCAATATCGTTTTCACTTTACTGTTAAAAGATAAAAAAAAAAGGGATGATATGAGGTAAATGTACGTGTGACAAAAGCACATAAAATACATGGAAAATAGAAATTATCAAAAAACAGGGATTTAATTCCTGTTCCTCATTGACAGTAGTTGTAGAGTCTTCCACAATGAACGAAACATTCATACTTTACAACGAGGTCAAGACAACCCCTAGCGTCAACTTGTCATAATTTGGAACTTTTGTCAGATTTTCGGAATCCTCTGGTTTTATCCATTCGTATGCATTAAATTTTTTTGCCCATTGACCCCCATTTTTCTTTTTATAAATCTTTTATATGTATAATTATAAGCCATCTGTAAAAGTCTTACAAAATCTTTGTTATTTTTTAATAGTTTTTGAGAGCTTTAACTTGTCAATGATAAAGCTATGAAAAGTCAAGAGAAAACATTTTCCCGCCAAAATTTCAATGGCTAATATCTCGAAAAATCCTTTATTTATCCCCTTTCAATATACACTAGTGTTATGAAAAGCTTGTTATTTTGAAACTGAGTAGCGAACTTCCTTAAGTGGTACTATTGATAAAAGATGAACCACAGTTTACCATCTTAACCCCCACCCACCTCTGAATGCCAACTTGTGCGATGCTTAAAGTCTGACACTAATCAATTTAAATAAATTACAAGTTCACTTTACTGATAGTGTTATCTCTTTGATCATTGTTTCTTTTCTTCATATTTGTCACAAACCTGTCGTCTTGCAGAACTTCTTTGTAATGTGTTTCTTCTTTCTCTTGAGTAACATCTTTTTCTACGTCCTCTTGGTCTTTTTCTTTCTCTTCCTTCTCTTGATCTTTTTCTTTCTCTACCTTCTCTTTCTCTTCCTCCTGGGCTTGATCGTTTTCTTGCTCTACCTTCTCTTGATCTTTTTCTTTCTCTACTTTCTCTTGATCTTTTGCTTTCCTATCCTTTTGTCTATCAACTCTGACAAGAGAAAAAATACATTGATAACTTGTGACAAATAAGAACTCTTACACAACATGTAAACTTTCCAATTCGACATATTAAAGATAAAAAGATTTTTATATATATATAAAATGACGAAGGCCGTAATGGCCGAAATGTATGGAAAATTGTGTTATAGTTTTTATTATACAATCATATATATATGTCGAAAATAGTTGTTGCAGTACCACTGAAACTTGCATATATAAATGCATTGAAATGGGGTATTCAAGATTTCATTTTAAAACAAATGAAAACATATCTCATAAAACAGAAGCCAAATACTGCTACATACTTGTTTTTAACAGGACTCTGGTCACTGTCATGACTGCTTATATTGATCTTATCATTCTCACTTTCACTACTCTCAGTACTGCTACTTTGGATGCTGTCAAAAAATAAGAAATTGTATTATTTCGGTCATTTTAAATGAATTGATGAAAACATAATACAACATAAACAATTCCGGTGAGATGTCTTAAGGATGTAATTAAGTTAAGGTTTTGTAATTATTTGTCAGATGTTTGGACTCTTTTTTTGTTTTTTCCTAAGATTTAGCCCCATATTACCCATTTTTTGGCATACAAGACTTCAAATAACCAGCTCATAAAAGGTTCCTAACAAAATTTGTAGATTTAATTTCTAATGTTAAAGACCAAAAAAATACATCTTTAATTCATTTGTGATAACAGTTACAAGTAATTTAAATTGTTTTAGACAAGTTTCAGTGTCAGAATGTATTATATAGATATAAGAAGATATGTGCTTACTAAGTGCCCTTCTTTCTACCACCTCGTCCTTTTCCTCTTCTACCTCTAATGCCTTTACCCCTTCCTCAATGTGGCCTGCCACAAGAAGTACCTCTTTAAATAATTAAAAAGTATATGTAATGTTTTAATCAGGATAATTTTTGGCAACATCTCAGTTTTTCTTTTTGTGTGATTAAATGTTTATGCTGTTGTCTCTTTTTTTATGTGTGCTTGACTGTTGTTGTATTATTTCAAGTTATACATACGCAGAGTAAATATTGGCAACTTATCGACTTGCAGAAGTCATTTGTTGCAACTTTTGATTCCATAAATTCATTTTCTCTTAAACATAGACTCATTCAACAGGTTCAAGTAATATTTTGTTTTCAAATTTTTCAAACTCATGAAACATTTAAGACCTCTATGATTAAATTAATTTTCAATTGTGTCTATAGTTTCTGAAAAGTATTTTTACACAAGAATTGTTGAACCTTATATTATATGATTATGGTAATATACTTAAGTATACTTAATTTAAATGCACATTGACTCTTTCATTTAAATTTTTGCTAATCTTTTTCTTTTCCTAAAGAACTAATTGCCTTCCTTATAATGTATATTGCGTAATTGTGGTATAACCCTTTATAGTTTCTAGTGATATAGAGATATGTTACCTGTTAGGTAGCGTCCTGGAAGGGATGCATGTTGCTTTAGTGGTTGGTTTCCTACAAAGTAAAATATAAATTTAATTCAGATCCCAACATTCACACAGTTATTACATTGACCATTGACTGATAGCTCAATACACTGTAAAAATAATTTATTTAAGCACAGGCCAAAAAACAACTTAATTTGTAATTGCAAGTAACCGAGCAATAAACATGATAAAATAACTCTTACCTGACAACACTAGATACTATCAAATAATCGAGACTTTTAGGGATGTACTTAGGAGATGTTTTGTAATTTTTATCAGATTTTCAGACTTCTTGGTTTTTTTTCCTATGATACAGGGTAAAGTATTTTGCCCCATAACAACCATTTTTCTTTTCATATAAGACTTCAATCATTTTTTGTCAATAGCTCATATAAGGTCATTTCTTAAAATTTAAGCAGATTGTATGTAGACTTTTTCTAACGATTTTTAAACCCAAATAATACCAAGGCAAATATAAGGTAAAAGTCTGAGTCAGCCTTTTCCGCCATTTTTTAAAACTCAAATATCTTGAAAAGGAGCTACATAACCTATCAATATGTTCAGCTTATTTTATTCTGTAACTAATGCTCTTTCGACTTATCAATTTAAAATCCTTGAATTTCTCCTTAGTACATCCTTCAGATATTTCTACATTAAAGGGAAAATTCGCGAATTTTTACTTATCATCTTATTATGTTCATAATACCATTAAAAACATATTCACCAAGTTTTATCTGGATATGAAAACTAATAAAGAAGAAAATTGGGAATTATTAATTCTATTTATTCAAACTTCCTGACTTATGTGACGTAGTTTAAGTCTTTTTGCATGCCGGGAGTGGATTAATCTCATTTAAAGACTTGTTCGTTAATCATCTAATAACGCGATTTAAAGCGCATCAACGACTTTTGGTGTAGCTATTAACCAACTAACAATTCAGAAAGAAAAGTGATCAGCCGTGCATTTTTTTAAATTAAAATTTACGATTTATATTTTAAGGATTTCTGATATGATTATAGTAATAAAAGCAAATCATACAATAGAATTTTTTTATGATTTTTTTTTCGACGGATATTTTGAACAACATATATAACTGATAGTATAATAGAAATTCACGTTTGTATTCTCCCCTATTACTTCAGTCGAGGATTTGTCTTACTATACATATCCTTGCTTCAGTCTAGTACTGTGTAAATACAATGCATGTGTATTATGCTGACACCACCTGGTAAAGGCGTGGTTGAATTAACGGTAATTAAAAGATTAGCATTATGTAATTTTAATCCTTTGATCTTCACTAGAGTGGTGTTTGTCCTCAAGGGTTCACCGTTGCAGGTATGAGACAGATTTTTTTTAATTATTAAGGGAGGTATATGGTGGCAAAATACCTTAATCGCCGTTATATATATATTTTTTTAACATTTTGCATTTGCTCAGTTTTTAAATAAATAGGTGAGTATTTTGTTGTAACATCGAAATTCTGAATCACTTTTAATAAAATAATTATATAAATATTATAAATGGCCCACGAAAACAAGCGTATAAATCAAAACAGTACTATTTTAAATTATCATCGGTAACCTTGAATATTTAAATGTGCAGAGAAAATTATCAGTTACAAAAATATAGTTTTGTCGTCCAAAGCGATCTTCATTTACCTAATCAGAAATGCCCTTATTAAAATATTATAAATCTCACAACGTATTTATATAATTCTTAAGCTATTTGACCAACGATGTTTAAAAAAATTAACAGAATCAATCTAACGTCAACTTTCCTTTTTTAAATGGAGACAGAATGGCGAAATCAATTTTCAATGTGCTTGATATCTTGTACCTTTGTAAGACTTATCATTCATTCATAAACCCACTCTAAACCAGAGACATATATACGTCTGTTTAAACTGACAAGAAAACTCCTAAAGCGGACAAGCAGTATATTCTGTAAATTTCTGAGATTTAATACAAAGAAATAAAAAAATCCCGAAATGAATTTGATCCTAGAAAATATTCACATCCTCATTCGGTCTGAAAAAAAGATACGAATTTGGTATACAGAACATGCAGAAGTGTGAATGTTATAAAACCTAATTGTTATATCAGAAACCATTATAAATATGAACATGTATACGTAAGACCTCATGGGACGTCACCTAACCACATTCAGGTAATATACAAGTAGCTCTGTTATACCCGGAAATGTCAAGGTTAATCATAGATAGATAGACATGACCTTTTCCATCAAATATGCGACTTTTCGTATTTATATTTTTTCTTATATTACCGGTACTGTAATTTAATATCTAATGCATAAGTGCAATATTAAGAGTGGTTAAATCCCCTACAAGCTAACTAAATAAATAAATCAACCCTCTAGCTGACCAGACGTTAATACAACTACCATCAGTCTATCCGGAGTGAAGTTTCTTTATTTCTTCAAATAGGCTTTTGGGGATCATTAGTGCACGTCCAGTGGCATATATATATATAACATGCATGTCGGACCAGGAAAATGTGATGATGACGAATTTCTTAAACTGTTCGAAATAATCTTATTGAAATATAAATCTGTGATTTTACTATGTCTATAGCTTCGATGAACCAAAGCAAGTTAGATATCGACCTGTATTTAAATCAGATTGGTTCTGGATGTTTCTCTCGTATATTCAATATACTTGTATGATATTAGTTCTATATTGCGACTATCCATAGTATCGTATTAAACCTTCCATTTAGGCGTATAAACCAATGATCGACAAGTGCCGCACATTTTATTAAATCAATATTTGTATGTTTCAAAATGTCCATAATTATTGACGAGTATATACTTACATTTTCCACAATTTACCCTTGGAAAATGTGTAAATAGATTTTTATTTCATCAAATCTTTTTTTTTTTAATTATTTAAATTTTCTTAAATATCATTCTTTACACCAAAAATGTTATTTATAAACAAGCGTATGAGTTTAGCAATCACTAGTATATCACTATTTGATACGCTATACAAAGTTGTATATTACACCTGATAGATTCAAAATGGAAGTTACATGTTATCGGCCGTGTACACTGATCAATACCCCCAGAAAAGAAGTGATGCACGAACTTGTTTGATGTAATTGTGTAATAACAGTTTTAAAGCCCGACAGGAAATCGCTTGAATACCTGTACTTGTCACCTCAAAATACCTCTGGGAACAATTCCTTTAGCCATTCTGGTGATCAGAAAAGGGAAGGTCCGAATTTATTTTAAAAAGTTTATTACATAAAACAATTATGAACAAACTAGATTTTCAAAAACAATTTTACGCGGAACACTTATTTATAACTTTGACTTTTTAACTAATTTCAATTTCTTTGTTTTAAATACTTCGTAAATAAAACAGTTTCAAAACGACAGACCATACTATTAGTACTAGTTATTTAAAAAATAATATATATAAAATTACATTTTCCGTATCAAGTTAGTTAGGAAAGGTTGCACAACCATGTCTATCATAATCTTTTTTGTGACCCGGGAAACTGTTTATGCTTTCCTTGTCGGATAAAACAACCGTACGCTTGACAAGATATCGACACTCAATTACGGCTACGTTAGGTTACTGCTTGTTTTGGTCCTTTGTGGTTTATAGATATATCGTGGTCAATATTCGGGGAGGATGTCAAAATGGCCGCATGCGGAGAATTGATACTCTAAATTTAAAATCGATGGTCATCTCTTAACTTGCAGAATAAAACTTTATTGTCTATGAATATGTGCTTTTTTATACATAATGAACAGAATATGAATTTTTCATTTTTTTGCGAAGTTTCCCTTTAAGTCCTTGTCTCTTTCTTGTTATAAAGGTATAGAACCACTTATTCCACACGTTAATTAAAGGTATGTTGAATTTTTCAGCACAAGTCAGGATAAGGTATAGTTTTGACATGAAATGACTGCTACTTTATTTAAACTTAAAACAAAGTCGCCATTAATACTCAAAATTGCAGAATTTAACATAGAAAGCAAAGGGCTATGAATTAATGGTTTTACACCTAAAGAGATGTTAATTTTAAATGATTTTTTACCTCTGTTTAAATGCTTCTTCATACAGTCTTTTCCTTGTTGTCTTTCTTTGTTCAAATTGCTGTTATGCTTGTTGTGGTTCAATGTGCTGTTGTTGTTGTTTAGGATGCTGTTCTGGTTTTTTTGCTGCCATTTTTTTACACATTGTCTTTGATAATAGTTTTTCCTTTACAAATCTTCAAAAGACTTTGGAGTGATGGCAAATTAGTTGCTGCAACTTTTTTAAGTGCCAGTCTTTGTAAGAATCAGGCAATTTTGAAAAAAATCAAAACATGGTCGAAAAAAACCCACCAACCTAACCATCCTATTTTGAAGTTACCCTCATCCTGAGTTAGAAATGGTAGGTCTTTCGTTTCTGTGTGTCTGGTAATTCGAGAAATCTCTTGATAAATTTTGGTTAGAATGATAGCAAATTAAGGAGTTAGCTCCCCTTAATAGTTAATTTCTAGTGCATTTCAACTAAATTATACCTTGAATTACCAGAACAGGAAAAGGAAACGAATGTTATATTCGTGCACCATTATACATTTTGAATATAAATTAATGTCAACTTGAGTGGGTTTTTGTTTGTCATGTTTTCACCACTGCCTGATTTTTAGGCAGATTGACACTTAAACTTTCATGGGAAAAAAGTGCATTAGCTAAGGAAAAAAAAGCTTTTTTCTTACTTTCTTCTTTGATTTCATGTGAAAAAAAAGTTTTTTGTAAAATGCTGACATCCTCCATGGCATTATGTGCAGAAAAATCTTGCTGTAGGAAAAATGTAACAAAAAATTGTTGAGAATACGACGATAAACCAGGTTGTGTGAACAAAATAAAAATTTGGTATCAAGAAAACCAGAAACAAAAGTATTAATCTTCTCAATTTTTCCAACTGCTTCTAAAGCATTAAACAGAACATGGCAATCAAAAGATTTGATATTGTGTGAATTTGTGTCCATACAGACATATTCCACTTCCAATTTTCGAGAGAAAATCAATAAATGCATCTAAAGCACTAGATATGTCAGATGTTTCAACAATTTTCCATTGTGATGCATTCTACCATTTCGACCAGTTATGCCATTCACCTCTGATGCTTAGGGAGAAACAGGTATTTTTGGTCTGACATAACATTGCCACTGCTTATCTCTCAGACTGTGTTATGTGGGAGTTGCGACCTGTAATTAAACAAATGTTTGTTAATCACCGTCATAATTGCCATTTTGTAGAAACATAAAATGATCACACATAATTGAAGTGTCTACAGACAATGCTGATTACAGCATCATTACATTATACTCGTCCAACTTTTGTGGTCGCATAGATTAAATCTCATAATTAAATCCAACAATTACTAAAAATATGTACAAAATATAGGTTCTGTTTCTACGGAAAGGAATCATCACTTTCTGTAGATCTGAAACGATTGTCAACCCTAAAACAGGAAGAGGGTATTTGGTTTCATTTGAAAACAACTTACAACTTGCATCTCATCATTATGAAATTACAAATCATTCCCATATTTAGAAGCTGAGAAATATGTGAAGGAAAATTTCTGGATGTATGAACAAAAGTAGGCAAATTGGTACAACTAAATCCCAACGCCTTAATGCGGAGGCAAAAAAAAAAACCAACATAATGTAACATATAGCAAGATATCTATTAACAATCAGGTTTGATATATGAAATATTTTTGAACTAAAAAATATGTCTTTGAGACACAGGGTGTCTATCTATATATGAAACTGCAGATAAAAACTAACCATATCGCTCAGGCAGAAAATGTAGGTCTTAGTGACCTTAATAATAGTGAACCCTGTTGTACTACATGTACCTTAGACAAATCATGCATATTGAGCTATAAATAATTTCCTGTATGAAATTCATTTTTCTTTTAAGCTATGATTTGTAGTGCTCATAAAATAAAGCATATGCATTGGTATGCAATACAAATATTACGAGTACAGAGTGAAATGAAAACTCAAACTGTGTTGAAAATACTAGGGTCATGAGGGTTGATGCTTTGAAGATTCTTATGCAAGGTGCCAATATAATTACAATTTAAAACATGATCTGAACCAAACAAGAGGCTCTCAAGAGCCTGAATCGCTCACCTGTATTTCAGAGGAGAAGATTTTTAAATGTTAGCAAACTTGATGAACAAATTGTGTAAAATTGTCTTTAAAGGGCAATAACTCCTTAAGGGGTCAATTGACAATTATGGTCATATTAACTTTTTTGTAGATCTTACTTTGCTGAACATTATTGCTGCTTACAGTTTATATATATCTATAATAATATTCAAAATAATAACAAAAAACTGCAGAATTTTGTTAAAACTACCAATTCGGTGGCAGCAACCCAACAATGGGTTGTTCGATTCGTCTGAAAATTTCAGAGCTGATAGATCTTGACCAATTGAACAATTTTACCCCCATGTCAGATTTGCTCTTAAAGCTTTAGTTTTTGAGATATAAGCCAAAAACTGCATTTGACCCCTATGTTCTATTTTTAGCCATGGCGGCCATGTTTGTCGATGGATCAAAACTTGGGATACAATTTATAAACTAGATACCCTAAGGAACATTTAGTTAAAGTTTGAAGGTATTTGGCCCAGTAGTATCAGAGGAGAAGATTTTTTAAATAGTTTTTTGACGACAGATGACAACAGACGACGACGGACGCCAAGTGATGGCATAAGCTCACATGGGGCCCTTCGGGCCCTGGTGAGCTAAAAAGTTGTTTAATGACTCTATTAAGGGGCTGGGGACAGAGGGTGTTTGCTGTTTGTCAACAAAAACAACATCCTTGTGTTATTCTAAGACTCTTTGTACTCAAAATAGGGTGGGTCTTTTCACCACCGAACACCCAAAAAAACCATCAACCACTGAGAAAATCAGTGATTTTATACAAGAAAACAGTAAAATCAATTAAATTACGTCTAATTTTTTAGATGTTTATGTGCATCATTTTTCGTGTAACAAGAATGACCGAATAACACCGTTATTATCCAAATAACACTTGTAATGACCGAATAACACTTGAAATTTTAATATTAGCACATATTGGTGACTTTTAAACATTGATTATTAAATAATATTATATTATGTGTGTATTTTATAACTTAAAAATGATTAACAGAAAGCAGGTAAGTTCATAAAGATCGTTTTAAATTTAGTGTGTACATCCAACATGGCGACCATTGTGATTTCCTTGGTCGCCATGTTAGATGTACACACTATATTTAAAATAACCTTTATGAACATACCTGCTTTCTGTAAATCATTTTTAAGTTATAAAATACACACATAATATAATATTATTTAAAAATCAATGTTTAAAAGTCACCAATATGTGCTAATATTAAAATTTCAAGTGTTATTCGGTCATTACAAGTGTTATTTGGATAATAACAGTGTTATTCGGTCTTTCGAGGTACCGTCATTTTTCTGTTAAAGTCGATTATCAATATAATCCATATAAAGAAGAGAAAAACATCTCCGGATTCATCACTATTTTTCCGGATTACATTGTTTGTGTATAAGAATCATTTGACATCAATTACTGATGAAGGATATTAGTTACCCGAAATATTTAACATTTGTTCATGTCTCTTTTCTTGTTATTGATACAACTATTTTATAAAAGAAGAAAAAAAATGAAGAAAAAAAATTATTTGAGGTGTCCAGTGGTGGTTTGCAGAGTGGTAGTGTTATAGACTCTCCTTTTCTGTTCGATTTTTGGGGTGTTCGGTGGTGTTCGGTGGTGAAAAGACCTACCGCTTAAAATATACTGTCATAAACCGCACAAGTTCGTGCTTGTGTCAATTAATTTATTCCAGTCATGTTTTCGTACCAATGTGTTCCACGATTCTTGCGCTTTGGATATTATTCACAGTCCAAATTCCCTAACACAAAGTCATTGTATAAATAAAAAAATCTACAGTTTTCTAATACTGAAATTTGAGACATACCACGATTAGCGTTCTTGGGACACAGCCTATTACTCGTAACCCGAATATTTCATGCCCTTCTAGTAATCAATCTATATTCTCAGAAGATAATGTTGTCATCATTGAGCAGCAGAATATTTCGAATTAATCATTTTGGATATATTACTCGAGGAGAAATACGAAAACTGAAATTTGAAACAGGAAGTTTTCAATGAAACAAAATTATCAGCGGTTACCGGTAACGGAAATGAACAAAATACGGAAATCGTAAATCTTTAAAAAAACAAAAAAAACGGGGCGGGCGGGGATGAAAATCTATCAATTTATTTTAATTGGCCTAATTTTATTATCTCCCCTTTTTTTATTTTTCAAGTGAAACCTTTTAAGACATAATTTTTGAAAAATTCTATCAACAGCTTTAAAATTTAAAAATTTGGTTGGACCTCATATTCCAGGTTATTTGAATTATTCATATATGTGTACAGTTATCTAACTTAAAATAGTTTACTGCGACTTGACTATTTACCTTTACCTATTGTTCAATTGACAATACAATTGGGACATTTAAATTGACCAGTTGTTATTGTTAGAGTTGAGTCTAACCTTGATGCTACCTGTACTGGTTTTTTTTTATTCACCTAACTCAACCTTGCAGCATGCTTTTTTCCTGAAGTTTTTCTTCACCTAGGGTTATTCTATTATAAAATTGATAGGGAAGAACATATTATTGGTTTTCATTGTTTTAAATCCCCAATATAAATGATTAATTTAATTTTGACCAAAAAATCTAAATCAGTAAGAGATTTTCTTAACTGCATGTTAACATGTATGAAAATGAAAACTGTTTTTACATAATATATGAATCTTTAAATTTTTAACCCTTATACATGGTATTGTCCAGTTGTCAGTGAAACAAGAAGTAGCTATTCAGGTGTTTTCAGTTTCAGTTTTCAGATGGATATGTTATGCATTTCTTCAAATATCCATTCAAATTTTTCATTTGGAATATTATTCAAAGTGTTTGAAATCTTTTGGAATCAATGTGCATAATATATTGGGATTTATTTTATTTGAATTCACTTCTTAAGATGCCATATAATTTTGC